TATTAGCAATTCCAGCGCTACATATAATTTCTACAAAGTTTGGGAACAAGCGAACTAATATTAATGTTTTCCATGAGCGAAACCGGTTTCCCAAATAGTCATTTTTATTATCGGGTTGAATAATTAATAAAGGGGAGAGACTACAGATTTAGAGAAGTTCAAGGTTCAAAAGATACATCCACTGCATATTTAACGTTAGTTACCTTCATGTCCCTTATAGTCCCTGAATTAGTGAAAGGATCTTCGGACTTAAAAGTTTTAGGTATCGGTAAATAGAAGGAAACATTTACTTCAAGGGTGGCGTGGGTATAGCACTATTAATCGAGCTAGATTTAAATAATAAATTATAAAAGTGACTGAAAGTTAATTTTCCTATGCCACGTCGTATTTTTCAAAAAATGATACATTTTGCACATGTGAGTGTCATCGTGAAACCACAATACAAATAAAATCTATTTTCTGCATTAGCTGCGAGATAATGAGGACCGAAGTCTAGATTGAGTCTATTTATGAGACCAATTTTATAATATAATATAATATTTACATGGTATTGTTCGTGAAATGCATATTTAACATTTTGGTCCTTGTGCTACAATGACTTAAACTGGTTGATCGATATTGAACGTAATTAAGCTGTACTTGTTCATATACGTATATGCGTACCTATATCGCACGTGTTTATATAGCAGTTCACTACTTGTAAAGTTGATTTATGACCGCCTGCAAAAAACATCAAATTGAAGAAATAACCTTACTGTATACAATATCTTAATACTGTGCCACTAGTGTATATTTGCTACAGGTGCTTGAACATTAATGTTCAATTTTAGAACTAAAAACGAACATCGAAACTATTTATTTTTTTAAAGAATTTACAGAAATAACTACTTTTTAACTAGTTTGAGGCAACTACTTAAAAAAAGGGGAAGCTGTAGGTAAGGTTAGGGTTTCATATAAGAACGCAAAGGGTTAAATCGTTAACGTCCTTGCTCGAGAATTTGCTCATAATTCAGTTGTTGAATTTGGTTTGTCCTATAAGGAAGGCAAAGAAAGGACGGGTCCACCTTTTTTGTACGATTTATCTTAACAATAGAAATAAGTTTTCAAATTTGAAAGTTTATGCTTCCCTTCGTCGACCCTTAGGGTTGTTAAATGGCTCGGAAGAGGAACGACAAGGATAGAGAGAGACAGAAGGACCCCTTTATCTTTTGTCGTTTCTGCTAAAGTCTGGCAATCGTATGAGAATGAGCACTTTACGAAATAGGACTGAGAGAATAGGCCAATCGCGACTACTGTAATACCAAATTCAGCAATTCTTCAGTCTCTGACGCACCTGACGGCATGTGACGTAGACGGATCTGTTAACTCAAAAGACTTTTTTATCATCGATCGTCAAAGAAGACTCGAGAAAAACTCAATATTTTTTCTACGACTATATAAGAAAGCGTTGGAATTCAGCACAGGAGAGGAAGAAAATTAAATTATTGTTAAAATGGATTCTCGCAAAGGAAATAAAAAAAAAAACTCGACAATTTTTAGGGTTCTGTACCGAAGGCTCGAGTGAAACCGTATTATTATCGGTTCATTTATATGTTTCTCTATCAACAGCTTTAGGTCTGTATACACTTCTGGCGAGTTGAGAACCGAACACAGGTTTTTAGTGGTGTTACACTAAATTTAAACGGTTTTGAAAATTCGATTAGTTTGTGACATAAATTATGCAGTATCGTCCATGGGATATAAAAAGGAAACTGTAAATGAAAGAACGTATATAACTGTAAATTCTGAACGTTTTCCCGTACCTGTATACTTAATCCTGACAGGAGTTTCGCTCCCGCAACCGAGATTGTTTACCGAAACGATTTTAATAAATATTTTGTCGAACCAAGTACACTACATTGTATTGCGATAACTAATTATCTCTATTTTTGGTTTTATTGTTTTGTATAAGTCATCACAAGGCATTAGTTAATTGACCATGTACTGACTGTTGTGTATTGACTGTCATTAGAAGACAATATTCTTAAATTAATACTGAAAATTTTCTTCACTTAATATAACGAAGTGAAGACTATTGAATTTCTGGAAACAATGCAATTTAGTGTAGGTACTAGCTCCGCTTCTCTAAAAGAAAAGAAATATTTGTAATTCATCTCTTAATATAGCAGTATTAGCATCTAGCAAGGAGAAGTTAGAGATAGCTTTAAATAAAATGGAAGAGGTGTTGACAAAACAGTATTGCATGAAAATAAATAAAAGTAAAACAAAAATACTGGTTTGTAAGGGAAAAAAAGGTAGGAAAGATCGAATATAAAGATATGAGATGAAATAAGTGGCTGACTTTCGGTATTTAGGATGTTAGACAAGTCAGGACGGAAGGAGTAGTAGCGATATAGAGCAAAGAATAGCGCACGGTCGAGTTGCCTTTAATAAAAGGAAGTCACTTCTATGCTCGCGAACGGTTAATTCAGAAATTCGAAAAAGATTGTTAAATGTGTATGCTTGGGGCGCGGCACTGTACGGGTGCGAAACATGGACGGATGATAAGGATATCGTGGATAGAGAAGGTTAGAAATGAAGAGGTATTAGAAAGAATAGGAGAACAGAGGACTGATTACTGTTCGCAAATAGTTAAGGAATGTAGATTGTTCTAATTTTAGGGAAATGCGAAGATTAGCTCAGGATAGGAAAGAGTGGAGGTACGTGTCCAACCAATCTTAGGGCTGATTGCCTTATGACGATGATCTCTTACATTTCACTCATTTTTGCAGCTGTGTTTTATAAATTCTTTGTTCCATAATTAAAAAAATTGCTGGTAAAATGTTTCAGTAGTAGTTTTACTAACAATTACGACAAAGCAACTCGTTTCATTTGTATGATTCTAGTGCTATATAAAGTGTGGGTAATAAGCTCTTTAGCTATTCAAAGAAACGAAAAGAAACAATTTAGAAGGGAATGCGACGAGATTGTTAACTGAAATGTAAAAAATTAACCTCATTTGAGTTCTAAAACTACCCGCAGCTGGTGTGACACTGAAATCGGTTTTCTCCAAGAGAGCGTAAATTTCGCATTATGCAAACTAATAGCGGTTATAACATTTTCTCGTGAAACTTTGTGCATGCAGAAAAGTGCATCAGTTCATTGTTAAATCCCATCCTCAGTATAAAGTGTTACCACTTAATCAGCAAAATTTACATTTCACGTGGAGGTCTTTTGAAAATACTTTACATTACGCGTTTCTAGTCGTAGTCTAGCATAGAGTTAAGAAAATGATTTACCACAATTTCTTCAATAAAAGTAAAATGATAATAGTGGATTGAAGAAATTGTCGCAGTTCCGAATGTAAAATTTAGATGTATTCAAGAATATATATAAATTAATTTAAAGGACATTTATCAAAAACAATAACGGTAAAACTGACAAAGGGTCGAAATCAGTAGGCTGTTTGTTGAAATGTAACGATTGCAAGAAGGTTTACGCCGGTCAAATTGGCAGATCTTTCAATCAAAGGATTCTTGAACAACCCCACTGACTACTGATGTCTATCTTCCACTCACGCATTTATTATTAGCGCCTTGCAGAAGATCAGCCAGCAAACATTCCTTTTAAATAATTGAAATATAAATTCATTTAATAGAAACGAAAACAATTTCTTTGATGCAATTGATTAAATACAGTTTATTAAATATATATAGAAAGATTAGCTTCTAAAAAAACATATTTTCTAATATCTTTTTANATTTTTGAAACATAGAAAATAGCGATTTTCATGTAAATTCAGACTTTTAGAAATTCATAAGTCGGAAAATATTAACTTATACAACACGCTACTGAAGTGAAACTTCTTCACACACAAACATACCGGGATAATAGGGGTTAAGGAATTGGTTTAATAGTATTATTTGTACATTATGCTTCGCACGGGTGCAATGCTGATAGTAAAAATACTATACAATGTCTTTATATACAACAATCACAGCTTTTCGTCATTAGACAATACAAATCGGTCGGTACCGCCACAACCCCTATGTCCCTGCATTTTAAGTCTGTAATATCTTCGAAAATATTCACTTAAATTACATGCTGTAAAGGTCCATATTGATCTATATTAAATGCACAATGTATTTAAAAGTACTTAATTGGATAAGGATTAATGCTGTATTGCTTAAAATCGCTTCGTAGATAAGCCATTATTTCTCGTAAAAAGTAAAGGATAAAAAATGGTTATTGTGGGTTATCTCTAAGAGATAGACATATACCATCCTGGACTTTTTTGTAGACCTTTTTAAGGTGTACAATACTGTAGCATATTATTTTGATCTATTCGGCCAGCGTTTGCAATGTAAGGGCAAAAAAATGCGTTTATTTGCGACATCACATTACAAACCTAAAATTATCAGAGTTTCTGTACTATATTATACATATAAACCTTCCTTTTGATTTCCTGTATCTATTAAAAAAAACCGCATTAAAATCCGTTGCGTAGTNATTCTACATATAAAACTTCGTCTTGAATTACTCTATCCATTAAAAAAAACCGCATTAAAATCCGTTGCGTACATTTAAAGATCTAAGCATACATAGGGACAAACAGTCAAGGAAATGCATTGCATGATTTCGTTACATAGTAACTCGCATGAAACGAAAAGCTTCATACCCTTTTTATCGAGATTAAACCAAAGAATATAAAAAAAAATGTTCAAGCCAAAAAAAATCGATTTTGGCATTTGTTTAAACAATCGTGATTTAGACAAAACCCGACCGGATTACTGACTGACAACCTATATCATAGTATTCAGGAGAATCTCGCGAACAAAACTGCGTAAAAAAATTTAATCCGAATAATTTTCTTCACTCGCCCGCCCATATTGCCTGGATTAAATAATAAAAATAAAAGTAAAAAGTACTATGTCGATTATTAATTGGAAATACCGTTCATTGTTTTCATTATGGTTTCGTATTCTCGCGGGCAATTAATTGTTCCGTGCTCTTTTACTCACCTTCCAATACCAAAACGCATTCCGTGTTGTTCGGATATCTGTCTGGATATCCGGGACTAAAGAATTCCTTTTTCTTGTGGTTAACGTTGACAAACGGTGCACAAGGATCGTTTGAGCTCACTAATGGTTGGTAAAAGCCCATGTCTCCCTGGGGAAGTTCGGGAAAAATCGTAGTCAGCTCCTTTCGGTTAAATTCTCCTCCATAAAATGGTTCAATTCGAAATTCATCTGTAAGCAAAAAAGGGCATAACTTTGGCGCTCTATAAATTCTCACAACCAGCGAGAGGGACGACATGGATGAAAGAGATTCTGAACAAATGATTATTTCAAAACCCGTTTTCTTTTATTCTTTTATCTTTTTTAATCCACTTGTAAGTTTGCCAACTTTTATGAGGCTATTGATAATGTGATAATAATGCTCTAAACCAGTTATATACCTACATAAATTATTGTCATGTACTTTATTTGTATTTTGAAATTTAACTAAGTACATGCTACAACGCACTTGCGCACAACAGCAAAAATTCCTAGTCGAAATGGATGTATGTAACCCTTTTCTTAGAACTAGCTTTTACCTGCGGCTAGCATTTTCATGCCGTAAATATGTGTCAAAGATTATCGAAAATGCAACATTTTGATAAATTTGTTCTTAAGTTCTGAATAAAGATTACAATTTTCGAAGTTAAACGTACGCTTTGCGTTGAATAACAGTAAATACGAACAATTTACGTGTGATATGAGCAATAAAGTCATGTTCATGCTGGACTACCACTTACAATTCATTTGAAACAATTAGAGATATGACCCTTCTCTTTAGTTGGATGCGCCGTGAGAAACAATCTAATGTTTACATAATTTACTTTTTTATTTATTTTATATTTGCACATTTACGTAGTGCTGCCTGTAATGTGCTTATTTAATGTATTTAGTTCAAAACGTTAGATGTAGTACTAAATAGTGTATGTTTATCTTAAACATTCGATAATCGGCAATGCTTACATTCTCCATCCATGCAGCTACACAGTTATTATCGCACTACGCTATTCAGTAGACACCCATTTCCTAATTTACCCACAGGACCGGCTTCAGATGGTAAATTATTGTGTTTCGTAAACATTTTACCTCAACCTCACCCTGCGAGTGTTTATTGAATGTAGTTTACACCCTCCAAAGCTCAGTACTTATTACTGTTACTGATTCGTATTTTCTAAATAGTTATGGTAGCAATAATCATATGGCAGCAAGTGGTAGCATGTGTAAAATTTTAATTAAGTTTTTTTTTGAAATTTTATATAAATGACATAGATGCACCAACAAATATAGTATATAAGAAACGATCATTTTTCTCCAAAAGTAATAAGAAGTATTTCACTATGAGCCAGAATTACCTATTGGTTTGTAATTAACTTAAATACGTATATACATATATTATTTTCGAATTTCTTGAGGAATCACACACACACGTGGGAGATTCCCCACACTTTAATTTTTCGTAATATTACCGTAAACTAATCTATTATTAATACTTCTTTAGTGTAATGAACCATAAAAAATTGATTTGATCCCTCATGTTCTGTTTAATGAATGATATCACATAAAGTAGGGCAAAAAACAAACGTTCTCCGATTCTTTTTCGTAAATAAACACATCCATCAATCAACATACATTTTCCATCTTAATAATGTCGAAGTTAACTGCTGTGCGCTCATTTTAAAATTGAACTTTCAACAACTGTCTCGAACGACGGAGATATGCATTCACGGAGAGCTCATTTGATGAAAATTCGGAGCTTTGAATCAGAAAGGAGACGTTTGAGGAAAATAAAACTGATATCAATAAGGAAATGAGAACTGCTGCTCTGTGACTTGCTTTAATTGTCAAAGAAAATCTGTTTGGAGAAAATGGAAACGTCAAAACGATTTTTATGCCGTTAAATAAAGTTATGTCTTGAAATCCATTAACAGGAAGATCTGTCTTTTTTAAAAGTAGTCTTTGGTAAAACACCCGTATCACAGCTTTTTCTAGAGAGCTTTTTTTCCTTCGAAATGACAATTCGAGGAAAATGCTTTCAGTAATCTTGTTTTGTAAATAAATAGTTTATTTGACGGTTTGACAGAGTTACTGATCGGAACTGATCGTAAAAGTACGGCATTAAATATTTTGTTTGAATCTTACCTTTGAGATGGGCTAAGAGAAGGAGAAAGTCGGAAATTTTTAACCACCATTACCTACCTTACCTAACATAACAACACAAATTAATATAATGTAGCGAACACGAGCGTGTTTGTGTGCGATCGGGCATACGTGTGTGTGAGCTGCTTATCGATTCGCTGACTAGCCGCGGGCGCCTTTCTTCATGTGCGCCGTATTTGTAAATGTGTGTGTCCTACCTGCGTTCTGGGAAAGCAATTAAACAGTTCAAAGAAAAAGAAACTTTTCCGGACGGTTCGAGAAGGTTCCCGAAAGGAAANTAAATTGACCGTTGCAGAAGTGAATCAAGAAATAAATTGACAGTGATAGAAGTGAAATAAATAGAACAGTGAATAGTAACAGTAGTGTAAATAAATAGAATAATTACCTAAGTTTAGTAATAATTTAATAGTGTTTTTAAGTTCAATAATAATTAGTGTAAATAAATAGTTTTCGTCTTAGAAGTTAAATTTTGTTAAACTCACGAACATTACAATAACCTAGGTTAGATAGGGTAAGTTAGGTTGCGGCGTGTAAAATTTCCCCTCTTCCCCTGTTATTCAAAACAGCTTCCGCCCGATTTTCTCATATAGATTTTTCAAAATTGACCCATTTTAAACCATTTTCAAGAATAAAAAGTTAAGATTTCAAAAAAGCTGGGATACGAAAATTTTACTTAAATCTACTAAAATTGTTAGGTACATCTTCCCAAAAAGAGCACAGGTATTTCTCTTTGTAATTTTTCATCGCATCTCAATGAGAATTTATTGATGCAACGGATTTCATAATTAAAAATTTAGTTGCGTACTGAAATGATTACATTGTTTCTTAAATACAGCTGCCTTTGCCCTCTTGTTTTCAGTTACTAAATTAAAAGTAAACTTTGATTCGTGTTTGAAACTGAACATCCCAAGAATATTTCTCTTAATTTTAAAATTCGTTCCCACAATTCCGAGATGGGAATCAGGTCAAGAAGTCAGGGGACGAAATTAAAAAAAAAAACATAAATCGTTCATGAACAGGGCAAGACCGATGCTTGATTTGATCGTTTTTATTTACATTACACAAAGAATAAAATAATAAATAAAAACATCAAGAAAACATAGGAAATAGAAATGGCATGAAAGTTCATTGTCTTAAATCCTTTCTGTATATCTATAGCTTTATCTCCATATATTCACAATCTTCCTTTGCAGATTCCTACACGAAGAAGAATAAAAAAGTAGAGAATTGAATGGGTTTTTGTTTCATGTTTAAGTATCAATTTTTTATTAAAGATTTATGTTTAATAAGTATATTTTGCTGCAGCCCAAGTAGAGTTTAGGAATTTTTTTTTACTTTCGTTACGAAGATATGATTGCGACGATTTATTTTTGGATGTAAAACAATTACACCAAATTCTCAAAATGTCTATTGCTATCAATTATGAAACAAGGTAGTGCCAGATGCCTGACTTCTAAATATAAAAACAATGTGACACAAATTTATCGTATATCTAACATATATTAACGAACTACCAAAGTGTATTTATTTTCTGTAAATGAAGTGATTGTATTTCGACGGATTTTCAATCTCAATATTCATAGGACTCATTAAAGTGTTAATATTGACCTTCTTTATCAGACTGATTTATAATAATTTGTCCTTGTCTTTGATTAGGATAATTGCTTCGCGAATTCGACAAATATACATCAGTGAATTTCAAAATAATTTTTCAATATGTGTAAGGGTGACATTAGTTGAATTAAAAATTTGAACAAATAATAATTGCATGTCAAAACTCACATGGTGACCTTTTCAGAGTAAGATCAGGTTTTTCGATCGAAGAAAAACAGTTAAGGAAAAGTTCAATTCAATTCAGAAATGCAATGGCACAAAATTAGATTATAGTACATTTTATAAATAAATAAATAAATTCAAGTATACTTTTTTGAATTAGTTGCGATCTAATTTATTGTCGATTGTACTGTCACAAGTTTATGTATATTATTTATAAGAAACCTTTGGCAAAGAGCTACTTGTGTAGTTGTTCTCATTTAATATGAAGTAAGTAATAACATAGGTACGTACAAACGTGACATACACTGTTGAGGATGATGGTAATATTTGACTAACATGAAACGAAATTGTAATTAAGATGTTTACGAAACACAAGATCCTGGTGTTGATGGGTATGAGCATATATCTGCTGCAAGATAAATTAGCCCTTTTGCTGCTCCCCTACATTTCGTTGTTCTAATTTCGTCCTTATTCTGTAAAGTGCATTAACTGTACCTAATGTATGTGATACAAACTAAAATTCTACCTTATAAAACGGAAACGGCTGTATTGAATATTGCATTGGTGCGGTAAATTTTCAAAAATGCAACGTACTTATCGGACAGTCTTTTCAATATTAGTGAAGGTATGCGTGGCTGAAATTAGTAGGGTGTGTCTAGACTAAAGCGGCGAATAAATTTTAGTTCGTCTTTTCCACCTTTGTACAAATGTATTGGTACAATAGGATTAGCATTTTTAATTATATGTATGTATATGTTAGGCCCGAAGACCGAAACCGCTCAGTGGCCGAAAAAAACGGCCACGTCGCGTTCTGGCTGCCTTCGAACGCACAGAACGCGTTTTAGCTGTTTTTAAACGCTCGCAACGCGTTCTGGTAACTGTTAAACAGCCGGAACGCGTTTTGTCAATTGTTGAACGCTCACAACGCGTTCCTAATGTTCGACTTGTATTATTTGCCGCTTTCTACCTGCGTACAATGAGATTTATATTGTACTTATAAAACAAATGAATTTCAATCCATTTTTCAGTTTTTAGGAAACAATTCAATTATTGACAACTATAATTGGATACCAAAGATGGGTTCGGTTTTTCTCGCCGAATCATTTCAACAATATTAAATTTCTTATAATTGTTTTTCAGTTCTAGGAAGAAAGTTACACTGAACACTTATATTGTCGAGCATATGATATATGAATGAATGAATGAAAAAGCGAAAAGGTATTCATTAAACAAATGAATTTCGACACATTTAACTTAGT